CAATAATAATACAATTAGTTAAAGATTTCAAATGCATTTGTGAGACAGGAACATCCAGCTGCTGCGTATGTGAAGATAATGGGGAGTTCTCTGGGCATCGTCTTTGTTTGTATGCATGTTCAGCACTTTACTTTAATCAGTGCCATTATTTTGACAGCAGGGATTTATTTTTCGGATTACTTATATTCCTGTTTACAAAGGATTAAACATTGTTTATAGTTAGATTTCCATCACCATAGTAGATCAATAGTTGGGAGCCATAATAACCCAACTTGAAAACATAAACAGGGTATCAGATGGCACCAGACATGAACGGAAATAGCTCAGTTTAGACACCTCATGAAAGACACGCTCCCTGGCGGTTCCGTGTCATTAAGACTGCCTCGGTGGTCGAGTGGATGCTGCGTTTGCCCCGTGAGCGGAAGTTCGGTGGTTCGATACCGAGCAGAGCCACACCAGGGGCGTTACAAAATAGTTCTTGCTGTTTCCCGGCGCTCTGCATTATTGGGTTAAAATATGGACTTGCCGTCTCGAAATCAGTATATACTATGTAGGGGTATCTGTTTAATAGCACTGCAGAACCAAAGTAAGTAAGTGCGGAATAGTACAATCTCAGACACGGGCACAACATGCATGCACGCTGCTATATAAGTGCAATAATCAAGAACGTGACGTTCAACATCGTTGTGTCGAACTATGGTGTGTCTGCTAACAGCTGTCTCGAATATTAGGCTGGTCCCCCGAGTATTGCAAGTCTAGTCATTATTCTGTGGAACTTCGGATAACTCGAAGTATTAATGTATAGCCCCCCCCAACCTCGACACAACGGTGTTTGTACTTCACCGATACCTCCATATCATAAATCATAAAAGTCGAGGTCCAAGCATAGCAGGCAGTGGGATAGCCTGCTGGTTGCAAGGTTGGCTAGTCATGCTGGAATATTGCTAAAAACACTCTAAGCATAGCATTGACGAAACAGTTTGCGAGGAAGGTGCCCGTTCTGACTGACCGTTGCATAAAAAGGAGTGTAAAAAGTATAAGCTCGCTTTTTGTAGTGCGCACTCGCTCACTCCAAACATAGCATTGACGAAATAGTTTGCGAGGTTTGCGTCATCTCCAGGTGCCCGTTCTGACTGACCGTTCTGTAGCATAGTGATAAAGGAGTTGGGTTCACCCGGTTCAAAGTATCAAGCTCCCTTTTTTGTAGTGCGCATCAAATATGAGAGCTCACCACACTGGAGTGAGTAAGTGAATTGGGTTTTACGCCGCTTTGAGTAATATTCCAGCAAGAAATGGGCTTCACATACTGTACTCATGTGAGGAATCGAACCCGGGTCTTCGGCGTGACGAGCGAACGCTTTAACCACTAGGCTACCCCACCGCCCTTGACCACACTGGATTGGGGTGCAGGCAACTTGAACAAATTGACAGTGAACAATAACTAACACTCGTTACCCACGTGGACATCTCGAATATTCTGCAGACCAGTAATGCACTTTCCTCATGTCACCTACATTTATCTAAGCAAAACCTTCACTGATTAACAGAACAAAGAGTTTGTCACTGGAATATCATTGCTTTGTTATTTTTGACAAATGATTATACTTATATAAGTTTTCCGTTTGTTATTTCATCGTCCTGCTCTTATTACTCAGAAAGCTTGTATGCTTGCAGGAAGGAATATTGGTGATGTAAGCCCAATACAAATATGAAGAAATTATCCTTTCCATACGTCTACAAACAACTGTCATTACTTCTACATATTGCCGAGCGAGGCGTTAAACAACAAACAAATATTGGTCATTTAAATTGCCGAAATATTGGTCATTTATATTGCCGAGCGAGGCGTTGAACAACAAACAAATATTGGTCATTTATATTGCCGAGCGAGGCGTTGAACAACAATCAAATATTGGTCATTTATATTGCCGAGCGAGGCGTTGAACAACAAACAAATATTGGTCATTCATATTGCCGAGCGAGGCGTTAAACAACAAACAAATATTGGTCATTTATATTGCCGAGCGAGGCGTTAAACAACAAAGAAATATTGGTCAATATTGCCGAGCGAGGCGTTCATTTATTGGTCATTTATATTGCCGAGCGAGGCGTTAAACAACAACCAAATATTGGTCATTCATATTGCCGATTGCCGAGCGAGGCGTTGGTCAACAACAATTGATGCATTAAACAACAAAATATTGGTCATTTATATTGCCGAGCGAGGCGTTAAAACAACAAAAAATTGGTCATTTATATTGCCGAGCGAGGCGTTAAACAACAAACAAATATTGGTCATTTATATTGCCGAGCGAGGCGTTGAACAACAAGCAAATTTGTTTTTCAACGAGCATTAAACAACAAACAAATATTGGTCATTCATATTTGCCGAGCGAGGCATTAAACGGCAAACAAACAACAGACAAAATATTGGTCATTCTTATATTGCCGAGCGAGGCATTAAACAACAACAAATGACAGACAGGCAGAAATGATTCTTCAAGGCCGAGCATTTAACAACAAACAAACAGCCGAGCGCCGAGCGAGGCGTTAAACAACAAACAAACAGACAGGTCATTTGATTCTTATTGCCGAGCGAGGCGTTAAACAACAACAAAGTATTGGTTTTCATATTCTTCAAGAACGAACGGGCGTTAAACAACAAACAGACTTGGCAGACAATGATTCTTAAAGTTGCCGAGCGAGGCATTAAACAACAAACAAACAGACAGACAGGCAGACAATGATTCTTCAAGTTGCCGAGCGAGGCATTAAACAACAAACAAACAGACAGACAGGCAGACAATGATTCTTCATATTGCCGAGCGAGGCATTAAACAACAAACAAACATTGGTTCATCAAATGTGGAAATGTCTTCCGCATGTCTGTCCTAAAACAATTGAAAGCTTGACGGAAGCCTTGAATGCCTGGATCCAACAATTAATAGTTATGTGACACTTCATGTCACGGATCCACGAATAAGCAGTGGGTCTCCAACCGATATTGGATAATTTTAGCCACAACAAGCATATCGAAGCTTTCTTCAAAGGTGAATCAGAAGCTCTAGGACGTCGCTCTGTAAATAATCAAGTCTGAAACAGACAATGCAATGACTGGCATCGCGAACGCTATGGCTCTAAAGCAAGCAGCATTAGAGACGGTGTGTTACTGATACTATCATGTCACGGATACAGCGTCAGAGTAAACTGTTGTTTAACACCAGTATTCCAACTATATGCCGGCTGCTATCTGCAAATCGGATCTGGAAAGGGAACAACAGTGATTAAAATCACGAGCATCGATCTGCGCAATCGGTATACGATGACATGCATCAACCAAACCAGCGAGTCTGACTACTCGATCCCGTTACAACAAGCATAGGTTGCTGAAGACCAATTCTAATAAAGATCTTCGCACCAGAGCAAGAAACCGGAGATGGTCATCATGGGTTGAAATCAACGGCATGCAACACATAATGAAATATATTTGACGTTGACATGAAAGGCCTCCTTTAGTACCGCAGGTTTTTTGGTTTGGTTTTTGTTAAACGACACACTCAGCGATATTCCAGCTATATGGCGGCGGTCTGGACCAGGCAATCCAGTGATCAACACAATAACTGACTGACTGGCTGAGTTTGGTTTTACGCCGCTTTTAGCAATATTCCAGCAACATCACGGCGGGGGAAACCAGAAATGGGCTTCACACATTGTACCCTTGTGGGGATTCGAACCCGGGTCTTCGGCGTGACGAGCCAACTCTTTAACCACTAGGCTACCCCACCGCCCCTCAACAGCATAAGCATGGATCTACGCAATAGGGATACGATGACATGCATCAACCAAGTCAGCGAGCCTGACCACCCGATCCCGTTAGTCGCATCTTACGATAATCATTGGTTTCAGTACCGAAAGGGACGGACATGTCTATTCTGTTTTCACAAATTTATAATGTGTCTTTTAAGTGAACGAAAACGGCTTTCTTTTGTCTAAACATGTCCTTTCTTTCTTCGAAAGATAATCTAGTGGTTAAAGAGTTCGCTCGTCACTCAGGCTCGATTCATTACAATTGTGAAGCCTATTTCTGGTGTCCCCCGCCGTGATATTGCAGGAACATAGCTAAAAGCGGCGTAATACTAATACAAAACAAAATCAACTCACTCTTCGAAAGGCGTCAATTGTTTCCAAAATCCAAAAGGTATAGTATAAACTTATATAACATTACAGTAACTCTCAAAACATTCTACATAAATATGAATGATATATATACATATTTACTGACAAAAATATCACATCACCGTGCGGAACAACGAGAAAGCTGATGTGGCGTTAATCAATTATCACAAACTCAAAGTCACATATTTTCTACGGAAAACAATCGATGGCCAATCTTAACATGGACGGCAATTTTAACTTTATAAAAACTGACATCGATGATCGTTCCAAGGACAGTTGCAGTACATTTGTGTTAAAGCTGTTACATGTTTTGTAACAATTGATACGCGATTCCTGCATCCCTGGCAATAAATCACTTGAATGCTTTTCAGCATCTGCGGCAGACATTAATAGATAATCAATTCCACATCACAACGTCACAAGTCAATTCATGACAGAGAACACTGTGACTAAGTATTACAGGGTCACGATATTGCCCAAAGGCGTGTGAAGTCGCCAGCAGGCACTGAAACTTGCTTCCTTCACGTTAAAGCCTCTCTCTGACTGGCGCTTCGTGACACAGTGGATACGGTCTGTTTCATCTGTTGTTCAGACAAGTGGTGGGTGGAAATGTTGCAGGAGCCATTAACGACGTGATTGATTACCAATATCGATTTGTGTCTAAAACAAGAAACATTTGGGCCATTGGAGATCGATCGAAGGAAATTCTCTCTGATGGACTAACATTTCAGAGACTTTTTAGCTTTGACACTACACTCATTACAGGTTATACTGCACTAAATCAGGATCCGTAGCTTATCAAGCACTTTTCGTAGGGCTGACAGCTGTGATTGGTGGTTTTGTGAAATAATTTTCAGTTTATTTAGATGTGATAAAAACTGACCATTTTTTAACACTGGGGTTGGTCTGTTAGCTTCCTGTACTCGGAAAAGGAGCTGCCTGATCTGAGGTAGTAATTTACATTGTTTCTTTAAGGCCAGACTGTGCACACATGTACCTGTAACAGTTTTGGATGACTTAGCACACACACACACACACACACACACACACACACACACACACACACACACACACACACACACACACACACACACACACACACACACACACACACACACACACACACACACACACACACGCACACACACACACACACACACACACACACACACACACACACACACACACACACACACACACACACACACACACTCACGCGCGCACGCGCACGCACACGCACACACGCACACACACACACACACACACACATAGTTTTAGTTGTGCGGCGTTCAAGGGGCGTTTATCCAGAATCTTCATTAATGCACACTAAGCCCACAATTTATTTATCAATATATCCCATGTCCATATTTTATTGTTCCCTTTCTTTTCTTGCTCAATATATGGCAATGATTAACCACATTGACCGGTTAGAAATTGTACAGTTCAAAACTGAATAATTATTTACGACAGAATCAGTGAACGTTAACAGATGGCAACCTAAATATGTGACCTTGATCTGTACAGGCGCATACAGAGCACAGAAGATCTTGTATCGCTTGTCAGATGATGGGTGTCTACCAGCTGTCGCCAACATTGGTGCTTACGCTCTGAGGACTTAATTTTCAATCACTTGGGGCTTTTGAGACCCTGCGGATACACCTGTCAATTTGATTTTGCACAATAACCACATGTATATTACACAGAACGTTTATCATTACACGCCAACATTGGTAATTGTACCGGTTCGAGTGAGTGAGTGAGCGAGTGACTTACCATACACCAACATTGTTAATTGTACCGGTTCGAGTGAGTGAGTGAGTGACTTACCATACACCAACATTGTTAATTGTACCGGTTCGAGTAAGTGAGTGACTTACCATACACCAACATTGTTAATTGCACCGGTTCGAGGAGTGAGTGAGTGAGTGAGTGACTTACCATACACCAACATTGTTAATTGTACCGGTTCGAGTGAGTGAGTGAGTGAGTGAGTTTTACGCCGATTTTAGCACCATTCCAACAATATCACGGCGGAGACACCAGAAATGGGCTTCACGCATTATACCCATGTGGGGTATCCAACCCTGGTATCGGGGTGACGAGCGAACGCTTGAACCACTAAGCTACCCCACCGCCCCTTGTACGGGTTGAAAGACTGACTGACTGAGTTTGGTTTTACGCCGCTTTTAGCAATATTCCAGCAACATCACGGCGGGGGACACCAGTAAGGCTTCACACATTGTATCCATGTGGGGATTCGAACCCGGGTCTTCAGCGTGACGAGCCAACGCTTTAACCACTAGGCTACCCCACCGCCCCTTGTACGGGTTGAAAGAACATACCCTTGGACATCGTATGAAACTTCGCCTCGCATGACATCCAGCATTTAAAAAAGAATTATACTGTAATATATGCAACGATGCACACCCGAATTCTCCATGATATATATGATATATTTTCCCCAGTCCCATCTATCCACAGAAACAGATGCCACTGCGCAACACAGCTGTGAATATTATGTTAATGGACCACTGACCACAGCGATGACGCCAGGTGTTTCCAGAAAGGATAAGCACATCCTGCCGCACCAGTAACAACCATTACTTACGTAATGTGCCTAAAAAGTAATTTTTTTGCAGGTCCGGTTTAGAATGAACCTTCAGTAACCCATGCTTGTCCTAAGAGGCGACTACACTAACGGGATCGGGTGGTCAGGCTCGCTGGCTTGGTTTACACATGTCATTGGTTCCCAGTTGCGCAGATCATGCTGTTGATCACTGGATTGTCTGGTCCAGACTCGATTATTTACAGACCGCCGCAATATAGCTTGAATATTGCTGAGTGCGGCGTAAAACTAAACTCACTCACTCACTCTTCAACAACCCATGCTTATTTTAAGAGGCGACTAACGGGATTGGGTGGTCATTCAAGCTGCCTTGGTTGACACGTGTCATCGTATCCTAATTGCATAAATCGATGCTCATGCTGTTTATCACTGGATTGTCGGGTACAGAGCTATAATATTGCTGAGTGCGGCGTAAACAACCAATATATATATGGTGATACCCCATATTTGCTTTATTGGGCAAATATGTAAAAATAATATACCTATGCCACACTAAGAATTTCACCTTATTCTTTCAAAGTGTCTGACTACAGGACTATCAGTTGGACTTGTCCATTATCATAATGGGTAACAGCCTTTGCTGTTCACTCAACAATATACCTTTGTGTCTGACAACTGGGGAGACGCCCTTTATATGCGACGCAGGTCTGAAAACAAATAAGACAATCAAGTGATTAAAGTCCAAGTGTAATTTAGAATTAAAACTGCTGTTAAAATGTGCAGATATTCCACTGATTATAAGTAAAGGAACCTGTGGTTTTGAAAGAATTTGTTTGACAATAATTGAGGCTCAGTATTTGTCTCGGACCTGACATTTCTTTTGTAGTTGACTCGGCAAAGATAAATGCTTCTGAGCTTATGACGAGACTTCAGTCCAACTGCAGAAACATCGACCCACTTGCACAACATCAGTGCAACAGTACACAAGCCTAATGCTGCCACTTTTGTAGAATAAAATATTGTTTTTCAGCGAAAGTTATCGTTGCTCCAAATATTTTCTCGTTGTTTGGATTATTTTCTCGTTGCTTCAGCTATTTTCTCGTTGCTCCAACTACTTTTACGTTGTTTGGATTATTTCTCGTTGCTTCAACTATTTTCTCGTTGCTTCAACTATTTTCTCGTTGCTTCGATTATTTTCTCGTTGCTCCAAATATTTTCTCGTTGTTTGGATTATTTTCTCGTTGCTCCAAATATTTTCTCGTTGTTTGGATTATTTTCTCGTTGCTTCATCTATTTTCTCGTTGCTTCGATTGTTTTCTCGTTGCTTCAACTATTTTCTCGTTGCTTCGATTATTTTCTCGTTGCTTCAACTATTTTCACGTTGTTTGTATTATTTTCTCGTTTCTTCAACTATTTTCTCGTTGCTTCGATTATTTTCTCGTTGCTTCAACTATTTTCTCGTTGCTTCGATTGTTTTCTCGTTGCTTCAACTATTTTTTCGTTGATTCGATTATTTTCTCGTTGCTTCAACTATTTTTACGTTGTTTGTATTATTTTCTCGTTGCTTCAACTATTTTCTCGTTGCTTCGATTATTTTCTCGTTGCTTCAACTATTTTTACGTTGTTTGGATTATTTTCTCGTTTCTTCAACTATTTTCTCGTTGCTTCGATTATTTTCTCGTTGCTTCAACTATTTTCTCGTTGCTTCGATTGTTTTCTCGTTGCTTCAACTATTTTTTCGTTGATTCGATTATTTTCTCGTTGCTTCACTTATTTTTCTCGTTGTTTGGATTATGTTCTCGTTGTTTCAACTATTTTGTCGTTTCTTCAACTATTTTCTCGTTGCTTCGATTATTTTTTCGTTGCTTCAGCTATTTTCTCGTTGCTTCAACTATTTTCTCTTTGTTTGGATTATTTTCTCGTTGCTTCAACTATTTTCTCGTCACTTCAAGTTTTTTGAAAGAAAGTTGAAGGAACGAGTAAATACTCGAAAAACGGGAAATTAATAGAAGCAACGTAAATGTAATTGAAGTAACGAGAAAATACTCAAAATCCAACTTTTTGAAAGAACATTTAAGCAACGAGAAACTGTCGCAGAAAAATATTTTATGCTACAAAAGTGGCAGCGTTTGGCTTTCGTACACAAGAGTGAGTGAGTGAGTGAGTTAAAATTTAAAGTCACATTGGCAATATTTCAGCCATCGTGACTAAAACTAGTTCTAAATTATAATACATACATATAATATATAAAACCCTGTCAACGAAGGACAGGAAAATTAATAGATTATCACAAAATGCGTTAACTGGTATGTATCGAATCAGGGATAATCTACAGCACTCTTACTTCTCTCTTGGTCCGCCATGTTTGTTTGTGCTTCTTATGTATTCGTGCTCCAGCACTGAGTTTTGATCGTTTGGTGTATCTTATTCAAAATGACAACAACAAATAGAATATAAAACTTAAAATAAAAAGATAAAAACTAACACGAATTTTAAATATACGTTGTCTCGATTCTTATTTTATTTTCGAATACCGAACTATGTATTCTCTGTGTGCCTGAACAAAGAAGTGAACAGTCGTTGGTTCACTATTGGGAGAATTTGGATTTCGTTCATCGAATTTACCCGGATTGTTTCAATTTAAATGATCAAACTTGGAAGCATTTAATAAACTGAACATTTCATGGGTCTAGTAACATATGATATGTCGGTCGTCTCTTGAGGTGACGTGAACATACATTCACTCGTCATATGAAATATCCTCTATACCGTATTGTACAAATGTTGCAACGATATTCAACATACCCATGGATACCCAGGTTAGACCTGTTTTTCAGCAACCATGCTTGTACTAAGAGGTGACTAATGTGATCGGGTGGTCAGGATTGCCCACTTGGTTGACACATGTCATCGTATCCATATTGCGTAGATCGATACTGATGTTGTTGATCACTGGATTGTCTGGTCCAAACTCGACTTTTATAGACCGCCGTCATATAGCTGTAACATTGCAGATTGCGGCGTTACACAACAAACATTCGGCAAATCAATCAATCGATATTTAACATACTGATTGAATTGTGTCTACCTTCTCTTGCCAACACAGTTCACCGTAATTTCAGACTTACACTTTGAGCAGACGTCATACGAAGCACTTGAGAGTTATTCCCCTTTTGTTTACAAAATGTAACAGGTGTTAAGTCAAATGTGTACCCCGTAAAATTTCATACCCTATAACTATTGCTAAGATGAAATAAACTTTCATTTAAAAGAACCACCTACTGTTGGCAAGAATCATAGCGGCCATTTTGTGAACTTTAATATGGCACATGAGTGTATGTTTGTGAACCAGCCTAATTGAGTGGTTTGGTTGGTTGGTTGGTTGGTTAGTTGTTTAACGCCAGACAAATATTTGTCTAATAAACCTGCTTGTCCATGCATTAAAGTCTCCGAATAAGCAACAGTGTAGAACGCGGAATTGGAAACATTTCAAGAAATATGTAGGATCAAACACATTTTAGGTATATTATTTCAAGAAATGTTAAGCTTTCATATATTTTATGAAATATCATGTATGGTGCTGAAGGATCGAATATAATGATCCTGGTGAATCGAATCCTGGAGTAGCGGGTAGTGGTATGGATAGTAATAAAGACGCAGCTCTGCACAAGGAATAACGGCACCTCTGTGTCTGATACAGTTATGTGCTAACAGGCAGCTCTACACTGAAGGAAAACCAAGTTCTATGGATAGTCAACTTCTTTATTGCAATGGCTACGACGTCTCGGTGTATGCTTGGTAAAGGCGTTAGTACCTATGTGAAGTGACGTTTCACTTTGCATTTTAAATGTTGTTTTATTTAAAATGTCAATAAATAAACAAACAAGAAACCAAAACTTTGTGATATTAATACATATAAATGAAATGTTTAAAGTTATTCTGCTTCTTCTTCTTCTCCTTCTTCCTGTGATCTAAAGAATAAACGGCTTCACACCCTACAGCAAGTCGTTGTGTTTTCTCGGCGTGGTGGCTGTGACAGATGGAGGCCCGAGTGAGAAATTCATAGATCAACGTGGGACCCACATGGATCTCAGCGTTAGGAACGGAAGAGGTGTTTCTCATCGTACAGTGTTCGTGCTTCGAAGTACAGACGTGGGACACCGGTCATCATCGGGTCAAGGTTGTATTCCTCATTGACATTGTGTAGTATCCATTGTGACTTAGCTCTGCCTACTATACATTCCATGACCACATTATGCGTTATCAGAATATATTATGATCCACAAATGCGCTATTCATTGACACTTTGATTTGATTTTAATATTTACATGTGACTTTTAATATTTATATGTGACTTTACCCTGATCATCGGCAATATAGACTTTTATACCCACTGTTTCTACAGCAATAATGCATTGAGATGGGACACTCCTTTGGTTTGTCGAGTTGACTTTCTGATTTTTCCTACACTGTCGGCATTTGACTTTGTGATGTGATATTTCGACTTTGTCGACTTATGCATTTCCGCTATTGTGATTTGTTGACACTTGAATTTGTCTACTTGAGATATAGGGGGTGTTGTTCTTTTCATGTTGACTTCGTGCGTCTATAGCATTGACATTTGTCATTGCCCTTCGTAAAGATGATGACGTCACGTGTAAACGATCACCTCTTGTTTTAGATTGAATCACTTCATTGAATTGTGATTCAATTAGTTGATTCACTGTTTTACATTGAGATTGGTTTCATTGAGAAAACGAAGAAATGTAATTTGTATTTGAGTTTTCCATATTTTCTTGTAAATGTGACGTTGTGAGTTTTTGTACACACATGTAAGTCTGGAAGTTGTTACACTGTATGGTGTGGTGTGTAGAAGTGTGGAAGTCTGAAAGGATGGCTTTTGAATGGCTAAACCCTAAATAAATAGGTTGTAATAGCAGCCTGTTACCAGTAAATTAACTTAACCACATTCACAAATAAAGTCTTAGGTTACGAATATTATCTAGTGGCATTGTTAGGTTCACTTGTGGCTTGACTAGTTGTTCCTTCTACAATACAGGGTAGACACTTTGGCTTAGTCCACTTACTGGTGTTGATTATGTTATGCTTGGTCCTTGGTCGAAAAGATGACGTGAATGTCCATTAAACTTAAAAGTTTAATCTTCAAAATTAAAAGTTACATTCGCCATGTCTTGGCGCAGTGTTTACCAAGGGAGACAAATCACAGTTCACTAAAAGTATTACCGTGAACTAAACGAAACGAAATTAAATCACGTAATGTGACAGATTAGTCTTGTGGTACTGATGGTCTAGTTTGTGGTGTTGTTGACTCAGTTTTTGGTGTGAATTTATAGGGTTTGGTTGTTTCTTTGTTTGGATATCAGACATACTGCACTCATACCTACCTGTTTTGATCGCCGAAACGCCGCACCCATTGCAATAAAGAAGTTGACTATCCATAGAACTTGGTTTTCCTTCATCTATACAACTTCTAAAATGACTCTCAAAGAAGCTCTACACTGGAGTGAGTGAGTGAGTGAGTTAAAATTTAAAGTCACTTTGGCAATATTTCAGCCATATCGTGACTAAAACAAGTTATAGATTAACAATAAGTAATGATAGATTATAAAATCCTGTCAACAAAGGACAGTAAAACAACTAGAATATCACAGATATAAATGTAAAACTAGCAATAAATCTAAAACAATATTTTAACTATAGAGGACAACACAATATAAAATAGGCTATAGATCGCCAACAACTCCCTACACTGGAAATATCGGCGTCTGTGTGTGATAAAGAGCCATGCTATAGTGTCTACATAATGGTTTCCGTACAATATATACGGTACTATTACTAAAACATTAATAAAACACATACACTTTCGATGGAATGTCAGAATTATCTAATAATATATCCAATCATATGCTCAGTCCCACAGAACGAAATGCGTCCCCATGTCCTATCTTGTCTTGTCTCGCCAACTATGGTAATTGAATCGGAAATTGTCAGCAGACCGCACATGTCAATTTCTAAGCATTCCATTATATTTGGAAAGCAATCAGTCCTTGTTCGCCTCAGTAGATCCGGCTGTCCTACACGGAATGTTTGACATAGGCTGGTTGATTATAAGTGACATATCAAATAATGCCGAACATGTCATCGTGATTAGTATTACTTAAGTGATGAATACACAATGCCTTTTAGAATGTGGTCAAATGTAACATGTGGAAGGCCTTGATGGCTGTCTTTGTGTGCTGATGATTAGGTGCCTTACAGTGAGGCTGATGGGACTCAACCCAACAAAAGTACAAGAGTGAGTGCGTGAGTGAGTTAATATTTAACGTCACATCGGCAATATTGCAGCCATATCGTGACGAAAACAAGCCATACAATAAAAGGTAGAAACATTTTGAAGATTAAAACCTGTCGACAATGGACAGTAAAAAGACTAGAAAATCACAGTTATAAATTATAAAACTAGCGCAAAGTTAAAATATTCCAATTAAAGAAGACAATACAATATAAAATACGGGCAAAAGTACAAGAATCTGCACATTACTGAGAAACTTAAATGAGCACATGTGACTGATATCAGTACTAGCCACCGGTTTGACTCTGAAACATTAAGACATGTTCATTCCGTTTTGTACTTGATTGCAACGCTCTCCTGTAAAATATGAACAACAATTAGAGATGTATTAAAAAGCCCCGGAAACATTTCACAAAATGCTTCTCTCACAGATGAACCATTATCCTATATATAAAACGTACAAATACGTCCTTTCGTTACATTCACACGGTTATTGTGAGAAACAGGAATACATGCCACGTGCATTTTCCGAAACTGAAGAATTCGTTTGACATGTTGCGATCACAGAGAGTAACCAATTCCATTTCTTACAAAACGTTTGAGTTTTAAACTTTGTACACCTTTTTCCTACACGGGATTAACCTCCTAACTCAAGAAAACATTTCATTCATCGATCTCTCTTGGGTGAGCAAATACTCCATTCTGTATTTTATTTTTGGGGTGTAAAAAAATAAAAGCACGTGTTATGTGAAATTTACTTTGAAAACGATACGTGAATTGATCAATTTCCTCTTATTTTTTAAGGAAGATTTTTGAAACAAAAAGAAGACATTTCAATGAGCACCAGGTTGTGCTCAGTGTGACAAAAATCCTCTCCACCACAAGACTGTATGACAAGACGAATGACTTCAACTTTCCAGCAATCACCTTTCCTTTCATGTCGAACAATATTCCCACAAATCCGGATTACGTGTGTGCATTGCACAACTTTTGAAGAACAATCGAACATGCTCTTTCTGCGAAGATTTCAAAGAGCGCCACGCGACTCCTGGACAAAAATGTTTGATCAACGTTACAACATTTAAAGCCTCAACAAACTTTCCAGCATTTGTTAATGTTGACAAGAGGAGGGTATTCCCCATTTGACGACCCAGTGACAACTACGATGCCTGACTCAACCTCTATTTTGATTTTTAAAGGGGCGGTTGGGTAGCCTAGTGGTTAAAGCGTTAGCTCATCACGACGAAGACCTGGGTTCGATTCCCCACATGGGTACAATGTGTGAAGCCCATTTCTGGTATCTCCCGCCGTGATATTGCTGGAATACTGCTAAATTATATGACTATTATTCATTTATTATTACCCGATTTCTAGTACACATGACTTGCCACAGACGGGGCCCTTTTCGCGAACACCTGGTGTCATCATCCTGGTGTCACCCGGTCCAAACTCGACTTTTATAGACCGCCGTCATATAGCTGTAACATTGCAGATTGCGGCGTTACACAACAAACATTCGGCAAATCAATCAATCGATATTTAACATACTGATTGAATTGTGTCTACCTTCTCTTGCCAACACAGTTCACCGTAATTTCAGACTTACACTTTGAGCAGACGTCATACGAAGCACTTGAGAGTTATTCCCCTTTTGTTTACAAAATGTAACAGGTGTTAAGTCAAATGTGTACCCCGTAAAATTTCATACCCTATAACTATTGCTAAGATGAAATAAACTTTCATTTAAAAGAACCACCTACTGTTGGCAAGAATCATAGCGGCCATTTTGTGAACTTTAATATGGCACATGAGTGTATGTTTGTGAACCAGCCTAATTGAGTGGTTTGGTTGGTTGGTTGGTTGGTTGGTTAGTTGTTTAACGCCAGACAAATATTTGTCTAATAAACCTATTTGTCTCCGCATTAAAGTCTCCGAATAAGCAACAGTGTAGAACGCGGAATTGGAAACATTTCAAGAAATATGTAGGATCAAACACATTTTAGGTATATTATTTCAAGAAATGTTAAGCTTTCATATATTTTATGAAATATCATGTATGGTGCTGAAGGATCGAATATAATGATCCTGGTGAATCGAATCCTGGAGTAGCGGGTAGTGGTATGGATAGTAATAAAGACGCAGCTCTGCACAAGGAATAACGGCACCTCTGTGTCTGATACAGTTATGTGCTAACAGGCAGCTCTACACTGAAGGAAAACCAAGTTCTATGGATAGTCAACTTCTTTATTGCAATGGCTACGACGTCTCGGTGTATGCTTGGTAAAGGCGTTGGTACCTATGTAAAGTGACGTTTCACTTTGTATTTTAAATGTTGTTTTATTTAAAATGTCAATAAATAAACCAACAAGAAACCAAAACTTTGTGATATTAATACATATAAATGAAATGTTTAAACTTATTCTGCTTCTTCTTCTTCTCCTTCTTCCTGTGATCTAAAGAATAAACGGCTTCACACCCTACAGCAAGTCGTTGTGTTTTCTCGGCGTGGTGGCTGTGACAGATGGAGGCCCGAGTGAGAAATTCATAGATCAACGTGGGACCCACATGGATCTCAGCGTTAGGAACGGAAGAGGTGTTTCTCATCGTACAGTGTTCGTGCTTCGAAGTACAGACGTGGGACACCGGTCATCATCGGGTCAAGGTTGTATTCCTCATTGACATTGTGTAGTATCCATTGTGACTTAGCTCTGCCTACTATACATTCCATGACCACATTATGCGTTATCAGAATATATTATGATCCACAAATGCGCTATTCATTGACACTTTGATTTGATTTTAATATTTACATGTGACTTTTAATATTTATATGTGAC